GCGATTTTTCCGGACCGATACGACTTAGGGACCTTCAAGAAAAGAGCTTACACCTTTCTAAAAGGCCGGCAACGCATCTACAATTCCCCTGGTGTTGCGGTTGTTCATGGGTGGCGGTAGTCACTTACCATCAGGTGAGCTGCATACTCGTTTGCCTTCTCTTCTATAGAAAAAAACCAGACGTAGATCTAGACTGGGTAAGGGCAACCGATGATTAAAGTAAATCATCCCTAAAATAGGAGCATCCCATGTTCAGCGGTGGAACTTTATGGGCTGGTGATGAAGAAATTAAGAAAAACATCCTATATACGTGACATGGCACCCAAACACACTGAACAAATGCCTTTTCTCATTTTTCGGAGGGTATTATGTAAGCCCTAATGCATATTGGCAGAATTCACATAATGTCCTCGTTCACGCGAACCAGTTGTACAATGACGCGGGCGGCGATCGAAATTGGTTTGCTCACGTACTTTTTAGACCATTATTACATTATACGTGCAACTAATTTACCTCCAACATGGTATCAAAATTGAATACTTTTAGGCTTCAATATTTAAAGTGATTCTCATGATATTTTAACATGGGAGGATCTTGGGTAATATTTGTCTTAGTTAGTAAATAACCAGTTTCTAGTTTATATTAAGGACAATATGATGTAAATTCCTTTTTAAATATTGAAGTTAGTATTCTTTTTTATATCTATATTCATATGACCACTTTACTGTAAGGTGACAATGGATGTGAATACCTCGATACCGTGCTTTATATCAGTATAGTAAGCAGGCTTTTGCTACGCTGGGAGGTTGATCCTTCCACGAAATATCAGCGTAAAATAGCAGCTCAATGCTGCTGTATTTTGTATGGTGAGCGTAGAGAACTAACTATCCCTACTACGAGGTACTCAACTTTCTCCTCAATGGTGACAACGCATCTACATTTTCATTCTTAATCGAGGATGGATGTGGAGGCTTGTTTATCCTTAACAGGAAAAAAGTAATCTTTATATATAAAAATTACGTGTCACATTGTTTGTCCGCGATGCACTCCTAAACTAATGAACTGATTTCAATGAAATTTAGCACACTGTGTGCAGTTTGATCCAACTTGAGAGATAGGATAGTTTTTATCCCGATAAGTGACCCTTCAGGTGTTTTTTTTAGGAAAGCAAATGATCGTTGGAAAGGGCAGAACGACATCTGCCTGGTCAGCTAGAATTAATATACGATTTAGCAATTGTATGATGAAAATATAGCCAGTTAATATGAATGCCTAAAATGAATATTATATTCTCCTAAACGAGTATAAAACATGTTTGTACTTATCATGGAAGCTTTGTTTTGTACTCAAGCCAAATTGTACTTCTCGTCATGTTATCACTTGTCAGACGTCGCAAACCGAATTTTCTTCTATTGAATGCTAGAGCGTTTATTCGAATTTCTACTATTCAATTTTACTATCTTGTGGATGTAGTGGTCTTAAGAAGCATGACTGCTGATCATGAGGTCCCGGGTTCAAATTCTGGGACGGACCTAAGCCATTGATAAGTTTTTTCTATTAAAAAAATTCCCAGTATCAACTAGTAGTCAGCAATCTGGCAGTGTTTGACTACCGTGCCTCAGTAAGCACATAAAGCCTTTGGCCTTCCGCCTGTTCTCGACTTAGAGTGCTTGTCGAACTCGCGTCCGGAGATATCCGTATAAACTTAGGTAAGTAGGTATTTATCAAGATTTATATGAACTAAAATTATACGAAAAGTAAGTCGGTTTAAAAGATAAACTTAATTTTTACTTCTGCGAGCCATGTTTCATAAATCTACCAAAAGGGGAAGTATCTTTAGAGTTTTGATGTATGACTGACAGACGGATCAACGTATATGAGGACAAACGCACAAATGAACAGATGGACAAACGAACAGACGATCAGACGGACAGACAGACAGACGGTCAGACGGACAGACGGTCAGACGGACAGACGGACAGACGGACAGACGGACAGACGCACAGATGGATAGATCTGATAAAGCTATAAAGGATATAATGATCCTCTAAGGGCTCTGTATTTTTCTTTTAGAATGTGGAACCCTAAAGAATGACAAAAAATAGTTGCGGAGTTTATGTTACCGTTTCTTCTCTGTTTTGAGGAACCTATATTCGAAAAGATAGTAAATTAAAAAATATGTGACTAACGAAAATTGAATTTCATATGTGGCAAAAATTAATATATTTAATTCTCCAGAAAATAACTAAATTTGAATATATTTTGGTATTTAGTATGTCTTGTTCTGCTAGTTAACTTATGAGCATAGGTTTTTCCAAAAATAATCTACCATTTAAATCCTCCTTATTAACTGTAATAAGTGCAACATCAAATTGCGTCCTTAAACCAGTAATTTTAGCTATTATATCAGCGATATCAGTATTTCGGTCAAATGTTATTTTTAATTTTCTAAAGTTGAAGTGCTTTATTAAAGAGTTAGATATATAAATAGTTACAGGATGTTATGTGTGTCATGTCAAAAGCAATTTGAATTTCACGCGAAAGAAATCGTTTTAGTGTTGAGTTGTAGCAACAAAAATATTATTTCAGGTTACTACGAAGGTGAAACTGCGGACAAAAGCTATTACTTTAATAAAACTAGAAACTATTACAAAAAAAAAGAATTCGACTACAGTCATCTATTATATAACTATTGCATTACAATTTTCTCAGAGTTTCAAGCAAGCGGCATATTAATTTTGCTAGCTTTGCTGTATGCCTACTATAATATTTTTGTATATTATAATAATTCAAATGTAGCCTATGAAATCTATGAGAAGTTGAATGGGATATATCGGGCAATTTAAAATCTCAAGACGCTTAGGTCATGATGAAACAGACAAATTCATTCGTACCTACATAGATAGATATAAAAATAAATTTTGTAACCACGGAAATCATGCCCCTTTTTTCAATGGGGTAATAAACAAATTTCTAGTAAATAATAAACATTAACGCATATTGCTTAGGTGGTTAGTCATTATAAAATATTAACGAACATGAGTCTGAATGATGATGGTATGAACATGGATCGCTTACGGTGGCTTGGTCATGTATAACGTATAGGAGACGATTGGAGTGTAGAGAGAGAACATAAAATATGGGTTGACTGATCGATCGACATTCAATTGGTCGACCCTTATATCACTAGAGCGACGGCCTGGGAAGCTGCTGACCTGCGTTCTAACTATTTGTGAGAGATGGCACAAGTATTCTCATGTTAGAGGCCAAATCCACTTCCAGGTTTCTGCGCCATAGGAGTGTAGGTGAAAATGGGTCTAATAAGATTATTTAATAAAATTAAGAATTTTATTGTGGAGGTAGCCGTGGTTGACTATGGCTTTGGGACGTTGAACACCTCTGTCTCTCCCCACCCCTCTCCTCCGCTAAGTGCTGTAGTTCTCAAAACGTCGGAAATATAAAATAAGTTTTATATAAATGTGTAGCATTCGCGTAAACATAAGAAATCATAACCTCTCGCATAGATTACCTCATAGAGAGTATGATATATATCTCATAATTTTTAATCGTGCATACGTTAATATGAAGTGACTAAATATTTGAACATACAAATACTCGTAATTCACGCCTTGTACGTTGACAACGAGACGGCCATGTTTCACGCTTATTATTGATTAGGATATAAAGCTCGGTGTGCGGCAACTATAGATATGGACTCTCGTTCATATTTCTTCATCGCCTTTTTCTTTTAAATTATATTGGTCAGACACGTTGCTTGCAGATCACATTGTGTCGCACCTTGTATATAAGCGGATCCAATGTACTACAATATTTAAATAAATTATAATTATATTTGTTTGATCTTATATTAGTTTCCCAATTAAACAACTCAGTAACAACTCCCAAGGTCGGCGGTTAAATTATATAGTAATTAATATGTTGACTGACTCGTTGATCTAGTGGTTATAAGCGTCACTTCTAATAAAGAAATCCAGGGTCGAGCCAAAATTAGTTATTTGGTTTTGTCAAGAAATTAAATTTTCGTAATAACAATTCATAAAAAATATTTTAACGAACTTTTTCACCATATTTTATGTGCTTAATGTAATGAGTTGGTACAAGTGAAAAGGCATTAAACTGAAAAGATAGAGCATTTTTACTTTTAGGTCAGATAATAGTTTTCGGTCTGAAAGCACTCGCTTTCAATTAAATTTTCTTCTTTATTCAAGTATTTTGCTCAAACAGAAAGTTAACTTCAATATGTTAGTTAATAGTTAAAATCGAAAACTAAAATTTGGTAACCAAATTCGGAAACTAATAAATGGAAATTATCTTTTCATTTTTCATTTACGATTATATTATCAATTTTTTTAAGTTTAACTGTTACTACGGACCTTCCCTGGTTTCGCCTGGGTAGTAAGATTTAAGATACTCATAGACCTTTTTTAATTATTCACTTTTTCAAATTTTCCAAGTGTTTCTGATAAAATATTGCTTAGATCACTCTACGTCTATCTTTCTATCCGTCCATGAAGTTTCATTACAATCGATTCAGTCGATATGGGGTAGTGCATTTTCCTACCGCCACTTTGCGGTTAGAAGCTGGGATATTAAATTTTAAATTGTTTATGGCTAAGTTACTGTAAATAAACCAATTATTAAATATGCACTTAAAACTCACTACGCTGTAATACATTAACTAACTTTAACAAATTCATTCAAAAACATTTTCGACTTCGGAAGAATTTAATTTCCTTTCAAATAGTCATTGAAAAGGGAAACTTTTTCATCGACGCTTTCTTTACGTGAACTGAATAATGTGCAGATGATTGGTGGAGACTAGGTATTATGGTATCTTTACTGATCTCATCATAAGTAAATTGGCTGCAAAGCAAATTTACTGATATCATCATAAGCATAATGCAGTCTTTCTTTCAAAAAGAAATAAACTTATTGTTCTCTTTAATTAGTGAAATAAACGTGTTCCACTTAATAGTCCACTGTTGGACATTGATATCTCAAGTAAGTTTATCAAAACTTTTGGCAAAATTATCAATTTCAGTGTAACACGCCTCTAGAATTAATCATCATTGCCATTACAGCATATACAAAATGCACTGTTGAAAATAGGTTTTTTAGGTTTGATAGTTTAATCTGCCATAAATGCAACATTTTGAAAGCGAGTGGGCAATGGATTTTTTATTATTATTTGTTATTTGAAGGACGCTACTGACCAACTCCTGTTTAAGTTTCCAGCTGTTGCCTCCTAACACACTACATGGCAATAGCTGGAATTAACCATTGATCTCGAAATTTGCTTGCTTTATTTTATTGAGTTTGGCCAACATCCTCATTACAAGGAGGTTCGAGATTCCATTGTGCTTGAAGAATATGAAGAAAAAAAATATAACTTCTATTACTGAGAACAATACGCTATGTGGTGTTGACGAATATGTTTAACTAGGAACCCGTTCACCGTTGGGAATAATAAATTTTCGAGGAATGTAAGATTTTTCGTGTAAGACAGCATGTTTTACCATATGAAGATGAAGTCGTGATATGGTAAAACATGCTGGAAGTGGATGTATGCATGTGTGTCCGGACACTGTTCTGTCATTTTTTTAAATAAATAACTAGCATTGTTGTTAACATTACAAATATTCCCATTAACCACTTCTGATTAGCTTAAAATGCTTGTGTTAGCAATAGTTCACGACTGTATTCGAATGGCGGATTTGAACCCAAGACCTTTTAGTTCGCGTTCCACACCCTGCCATGAGGATCTTGTTGTTTATATGTACAATATATAGAAGAGAACTGTAGCAGTTTTCAGATCGTAATAGACTAGTGTTGACGGGGCTTCTCCCATTAGGGAGGATAACATCCCATTATGTACCAGACGATTCACACCTTTTCGTATCTCTTCAGTTTCAAGGCACTCCCCTTGTTGCCTCAGCAATTATCGGAATCCTCAACAACGATATATCGGGTGATGTGCAGTTTCGTGCTCATTTGGAAGAGAAGGCCAAAGTGGCCTCTAAAAACCTTGGCATACTCAGCACAGCGGAAAAGTATTTCATGCCGCTACACCGCCTTCAACTTTACAAGGCGCAGGTTTGGCCTTACATGGAATATTGTTCCCATCTCTGGGCTGTGACCAGCTCCTTCTGCTTGAAAGCATTCAGCGCCGAGCGGTTCGAATCGTCGACGACCAAGTCCTTTCCAATCGGCTCGATTCACTGGCGCTGCAATGGGAAGTTGCATTCCTTTGCATTTTATTTCGCATCTACCAAGGGGAGTGCTCTGAGAATTGTTCGGATTGATCCCAGCCGCCAAATTTCACGAACGCATATCACGGCAAAACTCCCAATCCCATCCACACCATCTGGATGCTTGGCAGTCCACCACAGGACGGTTCCACTTGGAGTTTTCTTCCGCGTACGACCTCACTGTGGAATAGTTTACCACCGGTAATTTGTCCGGACCGATACAACTTTTTTACGTGGTAGAGCCATGCTGCAGCTATATTAATTGTATAACTCTAGCACGAATGGGTCGGTTCGACCGGGGAAGGACCACGCTCTTACAGAATACCAGCGTAAAATAGCAGCTTAATGCTGCTGTGTTTCGTATGGTGAGTGTAGAGAACCGGAGACCCCTTTTACTGGAAACGAGGCATTCCATCTTAGTCCTCACGGGTGACAACGCATCTACATTTTGATTCGTAATCGAGGATGAATGTAGATGTGTATGGGTCACAGCAACCACTTAACATCAGGTGGACTGTGTGCTCGTTTGTCACCCTTATTCTATGAAAAAAACTTAGGGACCTTCAAGAAAAGAATTTACATATACATACATATACATAAACACTCACGCCTGTCACCCAGAGGGGTAGGCAGAGATTATGGACTTCCATTTGGCACGATCCTGACACACCTCTCTCGCTCCCTCCACATCCATATACCTACGCATACACGCTCGTCGGTTAAAGGTACTCTTGATTTGGCCCATTTTTAATATATCGCCAATTTGGTCGATAAACTTTCGCCTAGGGCGACCCTTCCCGACTATGCCGTTCACCTCTGCAACATAAATTTGCTTTGTCACTCTTTCCTCATTCATTCTTTCTACATGGCCAAACCACCGAAGCATTCCTTTCTTAATCCTGGTCACAACATCATCTTGCAAACCACACTTTTCTCTTATTAAACCATTTCTCACTCTGTCATTCAGATTCATCCCTAACATACTCCTTAATGACCGCATTTCTACAGCATTTATTCTACTCTCGTGCTTCTTCTGCCACACCCAACTTTCACTACCATACATTAAAGTAGGTACTAACACAGCATTGTGAATTGCCATACGTGCCTTTTTGGACACATTCTGACTTTTCACAATAGAGTGTAGAGCCCCATTCACTCTATTTTCTGCATTCACTCGTCGTTCTATATCCTTATCATATCTACCATCCCTGCTAAATACACATCCCAAATATACAAACTCATCTACTTGCTCTACCAACTCCCCTTCTATTCTTATTTCACATATCGTTTTACTATCTTCTCTTTCAAAAACCATAACTTTCGTCTTACTTGCGTTCACTTTCATTAGTTCAATTTACTCCTTTCTAAAAGGCCTGCAATGCACCTGTAATTCCCCTGGTGTTGCCGTTGTTCATAAGTGGCGGTAGTCACTTAAAAACACTAAAAAAACACCTTTGACGCTGCTATCGATAGCAATGAGATATTCCGGCATTTCTTATAGTCGCTTCTTACGATATCTACGGGACGAAATGGAATGCTGGATTTTCTTACGAGGCCATCAAACTGTAAGCTGAGCCGTAGTCGACTAATTTGTATTATACTACAAATTTTTTTACTACTTACTTTGACTAATGTGTAATAAGTCATTAAACCTTAAGAATCAAAGACTAATAAATCTTCTTGAATTTTTGTTTTTACTTATCACATGCCAGAGATTTGATAGGTAATAAATCGCACTCTCTTAGCGGAACAAAGGTCTATTCCCTCTTGCTTTTCAAATACCCAGATTATAATCGGACGTGACTGTGTGTATCACGAAAGGCTAAAAAACCCGTTCTATAAATATAACTAAAAAAATAGTAATTGCAATTAAGCCTGTTCTAAAATCTCTAAAGATACGTTGTTGTCCTAAAAATTTTATAATGTAGTATAAAATTAATATTAGTAGGATTAACATAAAAGCAAAAAATGTTTCTTGCTTCCCATGGTGCATATAAAAGATTTAAACAAAGCGTAATACCCACAAAATTCTAAAGTTTAATGGGTCTCGACAGGTGCATTGTGCGAAGACAGGTGCAAGCACAATGCTTATGCAGCTGGATAATGGTTATGGTTATGGAAAACTATTACATTTATGTTGGAAACAAGCCAACACCGAATAAAACAAATGAAGTTTAAGTACAAGTCGAAGAATAATGAGATGAATACAATTTGTTGTAAGAGAAAATTTTAAACATAGATTTCAACTTTACTCGTATTACTATTTTGAGCCACATATAAAAATTATTCTTTATCACATAATACTATAAAACGTCGACGACGTTAGTCTAATAGTCGTAGGTGACTGCTGATCATGTGTTCCCGAATTCGAATCGCTGGTCGGGCCGAAATCTGTTATTGGCTTATTCTGTAAATAAATACTCAGTATTCATCATTACAGCCCTTCACAAGTCCACTGCTGAACATAGGCCTCCCCCAAAGAATGCAACAAAGCACGGTCCTGAGCCACCTGCATCCATCGACTTCCTGCATATCTTACCAGGTCGTCACTCCATCTCGTGGGGGGACGCCCTACACTTCGCCTGCCGGTTCGAGGCTGCCACTCGAGAACCTTTCTTCCCCATCGGTTGTCGGTTCTTCGAGCTATATGGCCAGCCCATTGCCACTTCAGCTTACTAATCCGTTGGGCTATGTCGGTTACTCTGGTTCTACTGCAGATATCCTCATTTCTGAGTTTATCACGCAGAGAAACTCCGAGCATAGCCCTCTCCATAGCTCGCTGAGCGACCTTGAGCTTCCTCATCCGGCCAGCAGTGAAGGACCACGTCTCAGTTCCGTATGTCATCACTGGCAACACGCACTGGGTGTACAGTCTCGTTTTCAAGTTTTGAGGTATACCTGACGAGAAGATGTGCCGTAATTTCCCGAACGCTGCCCAACCGAGTTGAATCCGTCGATTGACCTCTCGGTCGAAGTTGGACTTACCTAATCGGACTATTTGTCCCAGGTAAACATACTCGTTAACAACTTCGAGCTTAGTGTTCCCAACAACTACCGGCATAGGTGTGACATGGACATTAAACATGATCTTTGTTTTGTCCATGTTCATCTTAAGACCTATCCGTTGGGAAACACTATTGAGGTCATTGAGCATAGTGCTTAGGTCCTCCAGTGATTCTGCCATAAGGACTATATCGTCGGCAAATTGAAGGTGAGTGATGTACTCGCCATTGATGTTGATACCGTATCCTTTCCAGTCCAGAAGCTTGAAAACATCTTCCAATGCAGCGGTAATGAGTTTCAGGGATATGACGTCACCCTGTCTTACACCTCTCTGCAATTGGATAGGTTTCGTACTCTGGTTCTGTACTCGGATAGCCATCGTAGCCCTACTGTACAAGCACTTCAACACTTCGATATACCGACAGTCAACTTGGCATCGCTGAAGGGACTGCAGCACCGCCCAAATTTCGACGGAATCAAAGGCTTTCTCATAGTCCACATACGCCAGACATAGTGGCAAATTGTACTCCTCGGACTTCTGTACAATTTGCCGAAAGGTATGTATGTGGTCTATGGTGCTAAAGCCTTTTCGAAAACCGGCTTGTTCGGGAGGCTGGAAATCGTCAAGTCTGCGCGCGAGACGATTCGTAATGACTCTTGAAAACAGCACGTAGACGCGGCTCAGAAGTGAAATCGGTCTGTAGTTCTTCAAGAGAGCGTTGTCGCCTTTCTTGAAGAACAAGACCATCGCACTTCTGCTCCACGCCTCCGGTGTAATGCCACCATGGAGGACGGAATTAAATAGCTTCTGAAAGACTTCAAGTACCGGTTTTCCACCCGCTTTCAGAAGCTCCGCTGTAATTCTATCCTCGCCTGGGCCTTGCCCTTTTTAATGTGCTGGAGAGCCATTCTAATCTCGCTCAGACAGATATGATCGGAATAATGTCGGATAAGACGCGCTCTTGGATCGTTACTCACCCTAGCGCGGCACCAACGATGACGTATACAGCTGCCCATAGAACCTCTCAATCTCACTCAAAATCTCAGGTGTCCCGGAAACGATGCTGCCATATTCTGTCTTCAGCTTTGACAGTTGGCGCTTTCTGGCAGACAGATCTCTGGCAAAGACTTTGGAGCCTTGGTTCCGCTCGTTCGCTCCTTCAATACGAGCTGTATTGAAGTTGTGTAAGTCCCGTCTCATGCATTTGGAGATCTGTCTGTTCAGTTGCCTGTATGCTGTCAAATCTGTTGAAGAATGTAGCTACATCTCCCGTCTAACAGCCATGAGATTAAGAGTGTGATCGGAGAGTTTTTGTGTTCTTCTGCGGCGGGTCTTGCAGAACTTAGCTCCGACCGCATGGACAGTTTCCACGAGCTTGTCATTCAAATCGTCCACTTCATTGCAGTCTTCTAGGCACTGAAAACGGTTTTGTAACTCGAGCTGAAAGGTTTCGGGACTTTGGGTTAGAGCACGAGGGGTACGGAGCGTTGACTTCATTAGACGAGATCTCTCCAACTTAACGTTTAGGTTCAGTGTGTCTCTAACCATTCGGTGATCGCTGCCGGTTTTCACCCACGCGATCACTGAGACATCACTGAACAGTTGTCGTCTGATCGTCATAATGAAGTCAATCTCATTTTTTGTCGAACCGTCAAGTATACCATACTCAGTAGTAACCTGGAACAAATAATAAAAAGGTTGACGGTGTTTCACTCCTTGCTTTGAATCACGTAAAGCCATTGGTCCCTCCCCAATTGGCGTCTGATCTCTCTTCGTTCGTGTCTGATTGCCGTCCCATCGGACTATGAGAGAGCGGGAGTATAGAGTGCACCTATGCTTGCGCACACATTCATGCAGATCTGGTCCTGCGCAGATAATTAGTCTCCATTTATACTGGCTGCCGTCACCGAAATCCGGTCTGGAGGACATGATTATTATTTCGTAACGTATCATCATGTATAAGTGGCACGTACAACCTTGATTCTTTTCAGGTATTGTAAGTTACGCAAGGAAAAAAGCTTATTTTAGCTAACTTCAAAAAAGAGGAGGTTCTCAGTTCGACTGTACTTCTTTTTTATATGTTATCGTATCTTCATCATTTTTTAACTGATCCATTGGTTATTTTTTTTATTAAGTACGTTATACTTTGGATGGTTCCACAATAATTTAGGGACAAATTCCACCACTACGGATGATAAATAGGAGATGAAATTTTGAATGCAACTATTATCTAAGACGACATTCAAACTTGTGATTAGCTTTTGGGTCCTGGGACGTCTCGTGTCTCGAAGTCCCGGGACTTTTCTTAATTTTAGTTGTCTCAAGTCCCGGGACTTTCGGGTCGAGACTCGAGACGAGACAAGATTGTCGAAATTGTTATGTAATCATTTTTATTTTCAAATAATTGAAGGAGCCTAGCGCCATGTGTTAGTTTAATGAAAAATTACTTGGTCTAATACGTAACTACTGAGTACGCAACATAATAAATGAAACAAATATGTGATTATGGGAATTAACAATGAGATTATGAACTATGATTAGATATTTGAGTTACTAGATTATAGTAAAATTATTAAGAATTAGTATGATTTTTAACTAAGTTCGTTTCATAACTATAAGATTTAACTGTTTAGAAGTGCATCTCTGTATGAACTCGTAACTACTGAGTACGCAACACAATAAACGAAACAAATATGGGAATATGGGAATTAAAAATGAGATTATGAACTAAGATTAGATATTTGAGTTACTAGATTATAGTAAAGTTATTAAGAATTAGTATGATTTTTAACTAAGTTCGTTTCATAACTACAAGATTTAACTGTTTAGAAGTGCATCTGTGTGTGACTAAAAGAAATAAACAAAGCAATTATTAAGGCTGAAATTAACGTTAAAGTTATTAAAATTTCTGTTTAATCTAATGTATAAAATTCTCGTGTCGCGGTGTTTGTTACCAAACTCCTCCGAAACGGCTGAACCGATTTGTATGAAATTTTGTGTGCATATCGGGTAGGTCTGAGAATCGGCCAACATCTATTTTTCAAACCCCTAAATGATAAGGCTGACCCAACACTAAATATTTTTTTCATTTGTTTGACAAAATATTTTATTTTTATTTTATTATAATTTAGCAGTGAAAAATACATAAAACTTCAAATTTTCACCCTTCAACGATCAACCCTGTTTTTATTCGTAATTTTAAAAGTAAAAAATATTTCCGAGAAATAATGTTTATGGCAAAACAACGTTTGCCGGGTCAGCTAGTTGTTTAGTAAATGTTGATTTTTACAAAAAATTGCCTGTTAATATGTTTCCAGAAATTTACTCAATACAAATTCTTCAAAAAGGCTCACCCATCTTAAAAAAACTAAAAAGCGTTTTCTTAAAAGTCTCGACGTTCCGGGAATTCCCGGGATTCAGTTTTGTTCAAAACTATAAACCGACTTTATAAGCTAAAAAGAATAAAATCACAGTGTATAGCAGTATTAATGCCCAGACTTCTGGAGCTATGACGAGCAAATGATTTTATCCCGATTTGGTTTTTTGAAGTCGGCTTTTCCTTTTGATTAACAGACTACTTTTTTCATTTCTCTCCAAGCTTCTCTATGAAATGTTATGTTAAAAAATGAATATGAATATGTTAAAAAATGTTAATGGCGGTATTTAGCACATCCATGAAAATTAATCTATTTTAAGGGCGCTAGAACAAGAAATTCAGTACGAACCCATTCTAAATTAATTAAAGCCTTTGTAAATACGACCGTATCTAAGAAATAACTACTTGTTATATTCGAATCTCCATGATATTCTGTCTATGTATATGTTTTTTTTTATTTGATTTTTTTTAATTTGTATTTGTTTTCTTAATTTCCAGTAATATTTAAAAGTTATGTAGTGGGACTCTACCTTCGGCTACCCGTCCTTTGATCGGATTGATAACGCAATACAACAGATGGCCATTTCGCCAAATCATTGCGTTCGGCGTTGTTTATCGGAAATTTTCAAGAAAGCGTGCCTGCGTTTATAAAATACCCTCAAATATATTTTCTTTTTTTTTTTCAGATTCATCCTCATAATGCGATCGTTCACTGTTTCTTAAACAGCCATTTCATTTACAATTAATAATTCCAGCGATACCAATGGTGATCTAAGTCGACTTGTACTTTGAAATTTACAGCTAGGACCCTTAGCTCTCTTTCTCTTACTTATTTTTCTCAAGAGAGTAGAGATTATGGAAATAATGGCGCGGGAATATATTTTAAAGAAAATAGATGTTATAATTAATTAGTCCTCGAATTAAAATATATTGTTTCTGAGATCGACAGAAATAAAAATGAATCGATAAATTTGACGTTGACAAATCATTGTTTTGAAAAACCATTGAATGAAAGATGAAAACAGTGAAAAATAGAGTGTATAGTAATACTAGTATAGTAACATTTCAATATTTTTAATATACTTATATAAAAACTAATAAACAGCAATTATTGTTAGAACGAAGTTTTGTATCGTACGGTACGAATTTGATGGATGATCTATTTATCGATCTGTATACAGAAAAAGGATCTTTGTATATTCAACTCCTTCATGTCAAATTCAAGACTAGACTTTCATATGACGAACAAACACAGCTTGCAATTTTACCCTAAACTATAGCAAGTTAAATAAACAAAGATATATTTCAGTTTTTAATCTCTTTTGAATAATATTGATATTATAAGCAAACATGTAATTAATTTTATCTACAATATTAAAAACTATGATAATAAAAAAAAAAACTAAAACTAGAAACTTAATTATCATATAGTCCTACTCCCCGCGGTATCGTGCCAAGAACGCTGGCTGCGTTTCCCCGCTGAATGGCTATACTTAGCCTTTGAGCGAGGAAAGAACCAGCCCTCTTATCACCAGCAGCAACGACCAGCCGCGGATGGAGTTCCTTTAGGAACTTCACCGCACGTGGACCCCACGGACCGATAGTCTCTACAGCAAATGGCACAAATATGTAGTCATCTCTCAGAGACTCATATTTGCGCCACTTACTCAGCTCAGCTGCCTCTGATGCCGCCCCGGCTTTAAACGAGGTACCCCTGAGATGAGAGGCCGCCAGAGTGTCTACGCAAGTAGCATCCCACACTAGGGCTTTACCTCTCTCCCAAGGGACCAATGTCATACCGTCGGGTCTCTTGCCATCGTCTCTAAATATTCCACAAGGCTCTAAAACCGAGGGAACATTTATAGAGGCAAGAGCCCTTCGGATGACATCGTTCAAAGAACTGTGTCGTGAAAACCTACCAGCGCTTTTCTTACATGAAAGTCCGTGGAGCCCAAACTTGTCGACGCTGCTACCACAGGGGCACTGATGGGGTTGACAAATCGCCGCTCCTAGTCGGATTCCTACGGCAATACGCAAGCTTTCCCTATCAAGTAATGTGCCGAGATTACTTGATGGTAAAGCGTGTAACCAGTGACTAGATTCCTTAGTCGAAACAGCTAGAAGGCGTGCCTTATCTTGGTCACTATGGAAATTATGAAACAAATCCTTCTGCACGCCCTGTACCAACGGAATATCCCACTGTTTTTGTTGGTTAACTTCCAGTGGAATATTTTCACCAGGACAGAGCGTTTGCCATGTTTGCCCTGCCTCCGTAGCAAAGCATAGGTCTACTTTATTATTTAAAATTATGTTACATAAGTCACTGACACTATGCACGGAAGCAAGGAAAGCAGGCAATGCAACGCTAGAAAGATTTCTCACACCAATGCCACCAAATTTTATAGGTAAAGTAGCTTGAGCCCAGGCTGTTGTATTTAAAGTTAAATTTAGAATTTTTTCTATAGCAATTTTAAGATTATTATCAATATCTTGTAAAATATCCGAACATTTCCAGACTGGACTCGAGCGGAGTAAGTATGTAAATCTAGGTACAAGAAGACAATATTTTAAAATAGTAAGAGCTATGTGGGGGTTTAATTTATACAATTTATCAACGTGGTTTAAAAACTGATCAAATTTTGTTTTCAAAACAGGTTTAATACTATCGAAAAACAACGGGGCACCTAGCAGGTATAGTGATTCCGTATTGACAGTTTTTATTCCTGGACAAATATGATTAAAATTTTGAATTAAATTGTCTCTATGAGAAGTAGATAAATTATTGGAAAAAAATATTTCACATTTATTGCTATTTGGTTCAAGGCCAATATTTTTAAAATTTCGAAAAATATGAGTAAGATCGCTGAGGACGTCATCTGCTCTACCTCCCAGTGTACCGTCGTCTAGGTACCAGACATTCAGCTTGGATTTCAAATTTGAAATAAAGGGTTGAATTCCCAAACTGAAAAGTGCTGGACCCAGAGGGTCACCCTGCTGAACACCAACAGCAGAATCGATAACATGGTTTTCGTAAAACAAGTTAGTATTTTGACTATAACATTGCCAAACGTAATGATAAATTTCGGGGGTATTGTTAGCCACTTCTTTCAGCAAGGTTACCCTATCGATAGAGTTAAAAGCATTCCTTAGGTCAACCTTCACAAGAACATCTGCATCAGAGCTTGTTAAAAATGTACGCACTGAATGTACCGCCGCCTCACAGCCACCTCTAGTGCCAAAGCCTAGTTGAATAGGCTGAAATTTGTTCTTAAGGTTAGAGATTATGTGCCTGCAAGCTAATTTTGAAGTTAAGCGTCGAAATGTGGAACCAACGGCAATAGGACGGATACCGTTATCCTTTTTTTTGAAGGCACATAATCTTGCCCCATATAAGAATGGAATGAAATTTGGATTAACATTACCAGAAAGCATAAAGTTACATAATTTTGTAATGTCTTTAAGAAGTACTCCGCCGGCGTCACCGGCAGAAGCGCTTACAAGATCTTTAAGATGTTGAGGCGTAATTCCGTCAATGCCGCCAGCAGAGCCATTCAAAAATGACATAATTGCTTCTAAAGTGTCTTTTTCCGAAATTTGTAAAGGTTGCATAGAAGTCTTGGGAGGCAGCAGTAAACCCTGAGACGGTGTGACCGAAGGATGCTTTTGACGAAGGCTTTCAAGAGTTTCGACATTACGAGGAGCCAGGATGTCGTCTGAGAATAAAATACGGGATGCATTTTTTAAGTCGCCATCCATTACTTTCGACTCAACTACTTTTTTTAAATCAAATTTAGGACGTGGTCGAGATAAATCAGTATTAATTGGGTAATCTAAATTTTGAAAAGATGTCTCTTTTAGTTGAGACGTAATTGATTTATTTATTGTTTTATCAAAATGAAAATGGGAATACGCGAAAGTAAATAATTTTTGCCAACTATTTTCACTATTAGTGAAACAATTTTGAATAGTGCATGACAATGCTTTAGCAAGCTGCATCCTCGCACCTCTAGGAATTCTTTTAACCACTGGTACATTACGATAATAATTGTAAATTTGGTCCGAAAAAAGGGAAACATTTGTGTCAATAGAGGAATTGCTAAAAAAGTTATGAATTTCTACGGCAGGCTGTGAAGCCGAAATACTTTTACTATGGCATCGTTTAATATGAATATTTAATCCCCTTTTACCTTTAAACAGCCTACCGTCAGCACAATTTTGACACTGTAGGAAATCCGGCTGTGAATGTAGAGGAGCAGAGATATTCATTAGAAAATCTAAACAGATTCTCATCATCAGATCTACAACACTCAAAAGTCTTTATATTGCATATTCATATTAACTTGAAATGTGCTGTACCCCGCATCTTTCCCTGAAACAATCATTTACGGCTTAAATAAAAGCACTTTACTCTATAAATGAAATATTATTACATTACTTCCCTGGATTTATTCCATATTTATAAACATTGTATGTATAGTCGTTACGCTTTGACAGTTGTCAACGGCGCAGCAGAAATATTTTTCTTTATTAATTAGTATTATGTCTGAAATCAAAAAAAATATTATTATAACAACTCTCTTATATATTTTCTGATCTTTTTGTTGAAATTTGTAAGCCAGAATTGACCTCCAAATAACAAAATAAAATAATATAAATATACGTAGCTTTTGACAGTGAAAAAATTATTAATAAATTATTAAATTTAATTGTTATGATATACAGGGGTATTTTGCAATAACCGGCCAAATTTGCAGATGTGGTTCAGAATAGGTAATATAAGCAAATGGTGAAAAAAAAAATCTGAAACATTTTATCCTTTATATTCAAAATGTGTGGAAATGCATTATTTTTACTGGTTGTCATTCATAAATATGAAGCGCCTACTATTTTATAATCACGCACACATTCGTAAGAGAGTATTGAGTTCGGAAGCGTTTGGCGCTCTTGTTTGATTACAGATTTAGGTATCTCATAGCTGTTGTTTTGACTCAGTAAACGTCTCCCCGGCTCCCCGCACTTTCCCTTCCGTTACACCGCTGAGCGCTGGGTACGTTCACCTGGCCGACCGACAGTGT